TCACTTTTGTTTAATTATTAAATTAAATATTTTAGAATTTAGTTTCTCATCCATAATATAAAAAAATATATATAGAGAATAGATATCTAATTACGTGGTTGCATGTAATATGTATAATTTATAATGTGTGTGTGTGTGTGTATATGTATGATAACAGTTACATAAAAGTAAAACTTTTTATACATTATCATCTAGTTAGAATTTAAAATTTTGATAACATTAGAGTTTTAAATATAAAATAATTTTATTTTTTCAAACATCACAATTACTAAAACAATAAAGTTTTTATTAAAATTAGTAAAAGAGAGTAATAGAGTACACGCGCGCACACACACACACAAAGGAAAAAAAAGAATTAACATGCAAGATAAGAAATTTAAAATATTATGCCTATTTTTATATATTTTGACTAAACTAATTATCAAATATAATTCAAATTTTTTACGTAAGTGATAATAAAAAATATATCACTTTAAATATCATATACATCATATCATATAATTATGCAATATAGATGTTAGCAATCTTAGATGGATACTCTAAATATCATCTAGTTGTACAATATGGATAGTCTTGAACGACCATAATCATAATTGTACAGAGAAAGAAATCTATTATAACAAAATTGACTTAAATACCAACAAGTCATGCTTCTATAGAATTTATTGATAAAAATATTTTTTTTCTTAAGAAATTAATTTGATATCTTCGTGAGGTCATAAGATATTACTATATGTTAAATTTAAATAAATTTTATTTAAGTATATGATAAACGTAATTGATTATTTGATTAAGTGCTATGTACATGATTGAACCAAATGGAACATATGGTTAACCTCATATATTTTTTCCTAACCTTGAGTGGTTGGAGGAACATTGAATATATGTAACTTTACAACTAATATAAACAGTTAAAGTTAAGATAACAAAAGTGGTCAAAAAATTTAATCTAGAAGTAGGTAAATTTAGAAGCCAAATTTTAACTAGTTAAAGTTTTTAACATTATACTTGAAATAAAATAATTAATTGTTAATTATTCAATTACGACAGTTAATTACAATGTTTAAAGAGATATGTATAGTCAAGGGCTCAATTAAATAATGATATTTTGGTAACTTAACTATGAGAGAGATAACTAGCAAAGAGATTACTCCTTCATTTTGTACACCTTGAAAAGATTACATTCTAAATTTTGAAGTTTATCCTGAGCACTTGGTATCAAGTTATCAAGGAAAGATTTAATACTAGTTGAACTATTTAATTTAATCTCTAAAGTTTAGAGAAATTTTATTCTAATTTGATATACAAAAAAATTATCGAATATATTAAAGATTAGATAAAAGAAAAAAAGTGAAGAAATTGGTATAAAGGGATTCAAATATCATTAACCAAATGTAATGGAGCCAAATCACTTCTTTAAGAGTTCCGAAATTGATTGCCTCTTTCACGAGTCTTTCATCTTCTTCCTTACCTTATATGATTGAAAAAGTGCTTATAAGTGTATGATAGCTTTAATTGCTGGTATAATTGATCATTACAATATCATTTATCTTAAAAACTTTAAAAATGATTCTTCAAAATAAGGCTAAAATTATATAATATTAGAGATATTTTATTTCATATTTTCTTATCAAAAGTAAGAAACAAAATATAGTCTTGTTTGAGTGTATTTTCAACTAAGAACTTGAAGAAAAGAGAAAAATATTTTCTCTCCAAAGTTTACTCCTAACTTGTGAGCATGGAGGAGCTTGAGGGAAAATATATGTTTTGAAGTAGGGGATTCTCTAAGAATTTTTACAACATGCATGAGGTAACTAATTCGAATCAAACTTATTTATGTTTGAGTTTAATGCTTAATTTAAAAATACATATTCAAGTTAGTTGTACATATTTAAGCATGAATTAGATGATAAAATCTATTATGTGTTTGATCCATTTATCTAAAAATAAACATTTAAATTGACTAGTTTATCCCATGAAATATGTTAAACTTAGGTAAACCATTAGACTTCCTTCTATAGCCTGTATATCTTCCATGTTTATCCTTCATTGTCATCAAACCCACTTGTCTCTTATTATGTCAAACCCTTTCCTTCCTTTCATCATCTTCTCTTTGATAACTTTTAAGGCTGACAACTAATGCTCTTGCATTAATGCTTCATAAAAAAATGATTTCTACATCAAAAGTAGTTGTTATGAGATCACTTGAATTTAATGATAATATATTAGTTATGTTCTTAAAACTACATTTGTTCAAGAATGTAAGAGCGTAATTCAATATATGAAGTTTATATATGTTGATGAAGAGTTCAAATTCTTCCTTAGGCACACTTATAAAGCTAAAGATTAAATAACCTTCATTTTGAAGGATGAACTATGTTTACACATTAGAGTTTTTATCTTTAAATGAATAACTCTGTATTATTTTTATATGACACATATTTGAACATTTTCTAGATTTATATCTATTTATCAATAGTTTCATACTCAAGTTATATGTTATAAGCTAATGATGTAAAAAATTGTAGATACCAGTAATGATGCATGTTTAACATATCCCACATCTAAATAGGTGAGCCAAAATTTGACAGCCTATAAAATATTGATAGAGAATTGAAATGTAAAAGAGGGTGTATATATATATATATATATATATATGTATGATATAGATCTGAAAAACAAAAAAGGCAAGTGAATAAATAAGAATAGTTTTTAAGTTGAAAAGAAAAAAAAAGAAAAGAAAAGAAAAAGAAAAAGAAAAGCACGAGCACTAGTGAGTGATAGAAGTAGTAAGTGTGTCATGCGTATATTTGGTAAGCAAATGTGTATAAACAATAAGCAAGTTGGGAGGCAGAAAGGGGCGCAATGCACTCACTACCCCAAAAACAAAAGAAAAAAAATATTATGCGCACCCCATGTGTAGCCCCTCCCCCCCTCCCCGGCCTGCTCTCCACCCGGACCCAACCCCACCGCTGTGCCTTACGAATTTTCTTTTGAATAATAATAATAATAAGAATATAAAATTAATAAATATATTTTTATATGGACAGAAATTGGAATCCAAATTGATGGTTCTTCCTTTAATCATATAAATTGAAAAGCAAGTGAGAGACAAAAGGTACAGAATATATATATATATATATTATATGTATAGCGGATCAGCATCTAACACCCCTCTCCTCACCCTTCTTCTCAAATCTCTCTCCAAATTAAATTAGAGATTAAATAATGATATTAATTAATTAATAAATTGGGTATTTTATACAAAATTCAAAGAATTGATCAAATATAATATACTTGAATTATCACCCTCATTAATATATATATTATTATATATATGTATATACATATATTATGATGATGGTCATATCGAATTTCGGCGATACGAATGTTGAAAACTACAGTGGAAAAAGCAAAAAAGGGAAATAGCAGCAGCCTAGAGAGAATAAAAGAATCAAATGGCTTTACAAATAACTTTAATTTTGATTTTAGTTTATAAAAATTAAAAATAAATAAAGCCCATAATTTCTTGTGAGAATATTGTTCTTTAATTATTAATTTGCAGGTTAAGTTCTCCCAATTCACATATATATATATATATATGTACATGTATATAAGATATGGATATCCCCCGTGCGCGTAACTAAAACGCGACATCTGGAGTTTAGATTTTGATTATTACTTAATCCTGCCGAAAGAGGAAAGAGACTACTCTTATTATATATACAGACATATATATATATATATATATATAAATACACGCACATGCAGACTTTAATGGACGACCAAGAATCTCATACATATATATGTATGTATGTATGTATATATATATATATTCTCTCTGACATGCATATATACAAAATCAGTAAAATTACATGTATCTCATACATATATATTCTCTCTGACTTGTGAGTTATCATCACCTTCCGGAGATTTCAGCGCCTCTCTCAGTTGTCATTACATTATATATACATATATATATACACACACACACACAGAGATTTGGGTAATTAATTTTACAGTAAAATTATAGTATAAAAACGGTTGGAAATTATGAAAATTACAAGTCGTGGGTAGATTTGACTCAGAGACAGAAGAAGACATGGATTAAGGGCCAACCCATTAATGTTAAAGGACAGAAAAGAAAATGCCAAAAAAGAATGTTGGTGTCTCCCGGGAAATTGCACCAAAATTGGAAGATGACAAAACACTATCAACATGCCCACTATTCACATTCACACCAGACACATATATATACACATATACATATACACACACACACACACACACACACACACACACACACACACACACACACACACTCACACTCACACTCATATAGGTAGATAGTGGTGGTCAGGCCATGATACATCCAGACCTCAAGGCAATGCTAGGTTTCCTGCAGCTCCCACTTTGCATCACAATTCTGTAACTCATAAATTAAACATGAAGAATGATATAATAATCCAATTAATCTCATACTTACAATATTTGTTACTTACACTCTTTTATATGATATTCATATTTTTTCATTAGAATCTTCATCATGATATTATTAGTGACGTAAAATTTTAAAATATATAAATTTTTATTAAAAAAATAATACCAGATGAGATAGCATCTGCTTCTTGATTCTTTTTTCCGTACCATTTGATATTATGGTTTCTGTATATATGTCAATCATTTTCCAACAGTAATATGTAATTTAGCCGGTGAAGAAGATATATGGGAATTGAGAGAAGGAAAGGAAAGATTCTGATAAAGGACTTATACATTTATATATATAATGTATATCTAATGAATGAAGAATGGTGTAAGAGATGGTGTGTTACAGAATAATTTTTTTGAAGAGGGAAGAAGAAGGTGGGAACCCACCAGCCACATCACACAGCAGAAATCCTCGTTTGTCTCTAAACTATATATATTTATACGTGCTCTCCAGTTCACTTTGGGAAGCCAAGTTAATCAAAACGGAAACTCCTTTAACTACTTCTCCCTCTCTCTCCCCTTCCTTCCCCCCCTCCAACACATCATCACCTCCATTAACACACCCTGTATCAGCTTTAAGTTTATTTTCGGTCATGCCACTTAACTGAATAGCACCAAAACCTGACAGTCAATTACCAGACCCAGATATGTCTGATCATTCCCACAACACCCCTACCCCTGTACTTGCTTTCCCCCTCCCACAAAACTCACACTCACCTCTCCAACTCACCTTATATCCTATCACTTTAAAGGTGCATATATACATATATATATATATAGTGTATGTCTCTGTGTGTGCGTGTGTGTATATATATAGAACTTAATTAGTATATATACATAAATAACTGACTGTTGTGTATCCTGTACGAATTGGTCAGTTTGAGGAGCTGGTGTACAAGGTGAAAATAGAGGAGAAAGGATCATGGTGGGGGACATGGAAGACACGAGAGAAGACTATTTTGAACGGCATAACAGGAATGGTTTGCCCGGGAGAGATACTGGCGATGCTTGGTCCGTCCGGAAGTGGCAAAACAACTCTTCTCACAGCTCTCGGAGGTCGTCTTGCCGGCAAGTTATCCGGCAAAATCAGCTACAACTGTCAACCTTTTTCCGGCGGCATAAAGCGACGAACAGGATTTGTAGCACAGGATGATGTTCTTTATCCTCATCTTACAGTAACAGAGACCCTTTTCTTCACTGCCTTGCTAAGATTACCCAGCAGTCTGAGCCGTGACGAAAAGGGTCAACATGTTGAGAAAGTGATTACAGAGCTGGGTTTGACCAGGTGCAGGAACAGCATGATTGGAGGTCCACTTTTCAGAGGGATATCAGGTGGGGAAAAGAAAAGGGTTAGTATTGGTCAGGAAATGTTGATCAATCCGAGTCTTCTTCTTCTGGATGAACCCACTTCAGGTCTTGATTCAACCACGGCTCAAAGGATTCTAACCACAATAAAAAGACTAGCTAGTGGTGGTCGAACCGTCGTCACTACAATTCACCAGCCGTCAAGCCGACTTTACCATATGTTTGATAAAGTAGTACTGCTGTCTGAAGGTTCACCTATCTACACTGGTCCCGCATCTGGAGCCTTGGATTACTTTAGCTCCATTGGATTTTCCACCTCTCTCACTGTCAACCCAGCTGATCTCTTGCTTGATCTTGCTAATGGTAATTAACTTCATATTCTCCAATTAAAATACTCCCACATTGCTTTCATATGGAAAATAGACGAAGGTTATCTTGAAAATGAATTTCCTGCAGGCATCAGTCCTGATTTCAAGCAAACAAGTGAGCAAGGAGACAACACAGAACAGGATCCAAAGACAATCCGAGAAGCTCTCATTTCTGCTTATGAGAAAAACGTTGCTACAAGATTAAAAACGGAGCTATGTAACATGGATAACAGTGGGTACAGCCACAACAAAGATGTTTCTGCAAGTAATTAACTTGTTCTTCTGCTTGTGCTTATTACACATCATGGCTGGAAAATTTTCAGTTCTTCTCTAATCCTCCTCTACTTTTTTAATGTTGCAGAGAGTGAATGGAAATCACAACAATGGTGCACAAGCTGGTGGCATCAGTTCAGTGTATTGCTTCAGAGAGGGGTAAGAGAGAGGAGATATGAAGCTTTCAACAGACTTAGAATTTTTCAAGTCATCAGTGTGGCTGTACTGGGAGGACTTTTATGGTGGCATACCCCAACATCCCACATCGAAGACCGAGTAAGTTGTTCTAATCGCTCCTTACTATTGGTTTTTCGAATCTTGCAAAACCCGTCAATCTCCAGAAATATATAAACAATATACCGTATTCTTTCTTACCAACTTAAGTTTTGGTAATAATCGGTTGAATCAATTACTTAAAATTACGAACTATGGTGTAAATTGCAGATAGCTCTGCTGTTCTTCTTCTCGGTCTTCTGGGGGTTTCTACCCACTTTATAACGCAGTTTTCACATTCCCACAAGAAAGAACAATGCTGATAAAAGAAAGATCATCAGGCATGTACCGGCTTTCCTCCTACTTTCTGGCAAGAACAGTAGGAGATTTACCTCTAGAACTTGCACTTCCAACAGCATTTGTCTTCATAATCTACTGGATGGGTGGTCTTAAACCTGATCCAATTACCTTCATCTTATCCCTTCTTGTTGTTCTCTACAACGTTTTGGTCTCCCAGAGCCTTGGACTAGCCATTGGTGCAATTCTCATGGACATAAAACAAGCGACCACTCTAGCATCTGTCACGACCCTTGTCTTTCTCATTGCTGGAGGCTATTACGTGCAGCAAATCCCACCATTCATAGTGTGGCTCAAGTACTTGAGTTACAGCTATTACTGCTACAAACTTCTTCTGGGTGTTCAGTACAGTGATGATGATTATTACCAGTGCTCCAATGTTGAATGGTGCAGAGTTGAAGATTTTCCAGCAGTCAAGTCCATGGGACTCAACCATTTGTGGCTTGATGTTTTTGTCATGGCGTTGATGCTGCTTGGTTACCGATTCGTCGCTTATCTCGCCTTGCATCGAGTAAGGTTTAGGTAAAAAAGAAAAGATTCACAAATCATAAGTACTAATCATCAATTGCAGTATGACATAAGCAAGAGTTTTTCTCCTCCTCCTCCTCCTCATCATCATCCTTCTTTCTTCTTCTTGTTCTGTTAAGGTTAAGCCCAGGAAGAATAATAAATATAATAATGATAATATATAATTAAGTAGTACATTTAATCAATCATGATTCTCTTTTGGGATAATGAGCTAGTGTTGTTCATGATTGGTGTTCAATTGGAGAGAGATTCTGATCGTCTAAAGATTAAAACTTTTAGATATTATTATATGTAAAGTTAGAAAATTTGCAGATTAAATCTAAACTGGGTTTAAGAAATTGAAGCAGTTAGTGAGTTGGGTTTTTGGTGTAGGGAGGTTTGAATCCAAAAAATTCAGTTTTTTTAGTTTAATAGCAGTTGGAGAATTTGGTTTTACTGCAGTAATTTTTTATTTTACAATTGTTATTTTCTATACGGTCCTTTAATTATTACTTGCGTCACCCCATGCGCCATCTCAAGTGCTAACACTCCAATCATATCAAGTACTGACAGTAATTTATTTCTATTAGATTTCTTTTTTTTAAAAAAAAAAAAAGAAAAACTTTTTTCTTTGTGGAGATTATTATTTTTTACTCATTTATAATTTAAACCAAAAATCTTAAAATTGTAGTCATCTTTTAATGATTATTCAATTCTTAAAATTTAATTATTTTAATATGTAAAATGGAATTTTAATTTATATTATTGATAATAATAATTACATTCATGTCTATAAATTTAATAAATTATAGATTTACTTGTTCAAATAGTAAATACTTAATTTTAATTAGATATGAAATAGAATTGAAATTTAAATTATAAAAAAAAAAAAAAAAAAAAAAAGACTAGTCAAATTGATTCTCACAGAAAGGGACCAAATCACTGCAACTTGCAATAACTAGATTTCAAAAATGTAAATTTATATTTTTATATATGGTGTGTATAAATACATATATTCTAATTAAGTTTATTAATTCAAAAAAAACTTATAATTTAATAACATACTTTTTAATAAATATACAAAATCTTTATAAACGGGTTATGAATAACCAATTACAAAAATTTATACTATCAAGTAATTAATTTTTTTATAAATAAAGAGTAATTAATAATTAATTTTAAACGATTATTTATTTACCAAATATACAAACAATTTTAAAAAATTGTTAGAAGTTAAAGCACGTGTTTAACTACGAATAACAAACTTTTAAAATAAATTAAAAATGCATAAAATTTAAAAAGGATATGAAAACATATTGACCAAAATGAGGATGAAAGTGTGGCTACACAAAACTCCTTCCATTTCAATTTCTTCCAAATTTCTCCACAATCTCATTCAAAATTTCATGTATTCTTTTGGATGAGTTTTTCCAGATATTACTTTTAGAAAGTTATTTTAAATGTAATATTTAGTAATGTGTTATAATAAATTATTATATTTCTTAAAAGATAATTCTTTTTTTTTAAAAAAATTAAAATTAAAATTGAAAATTGATGGACTTCAAATTCTTGTTATGTTAAGCGTTCAATCAATTGAATACATATAGGTATAATTTTTATTTTTTTAAAAAAAATTAAATTATTTTTTATAAACTATATTTCTATTTTTAGCAAGCTAATGGGGTTTTTTCATTTTCGAATATAATTTATTCCTTAATATTTTATAGAAAGATTACGTCATAATATACGATCATAAACATAAATATAGAATATTGTACATCTGTCCAAAACTAGATTATAATTTTTTTTTTTTTTTTA